ATTGAACTGAGTATTATTGAAGTTGAGCACGTGAGAAGTTCGTTGTTATAGCGCGACTGTTGAAATTAAGTGTATCGCAAAGTTATATTCAGAAAGAATAAACCAGTTTTATTTAAGAAAGGACTCGTGTCGCTAAAGTTTCGTCGGAACGAATTTACGGAAAATCAACTAACGAACAGAGACTTAACAATACATATGCAGTACATTATGTGATAATCACTTTATTATTTTACAGCTAGGTTGGTTGGTTGGTTGAGAAATCAACAACTAAAAGGGCTTTGTGGTCCTGACTTTCCAAGCTATTGAGTGATATTTTGTAGCAAAACATTTTCAAAACAATTTCAACTACTGTATTTATTATCGAGAAGTACAAGAATCGTGGTACTGTCATGAATGCTCCTTTGATTTGGAAGAAAGAAGGTTCTTTCACCAGAACAAGTATAAGAATTATAAAGAAAATTAAGATGAATCTGAGATTGAATACCAGATATATTCAAAGTGAATTTACTGCAAGTGGAACTAATTTTCCTATTTCAACCATAAGTTGAGTATGTTATGGGGAAGTCTCAGCGGTCACAGGCAAAGAAATACGCCACTCTCAGGAAGAAGTTCAGAAGGACAATTACTTAAAGTTTACAAAACGGCATTTGAATAATGGATATGTAATGGTTGGAAACGGCTTGAATGAGTAATGAAGAAAAACTTTAATATAAGTTTAACATAACAGCAAATGTACAATGCTTTTACAAGGTTTTGTCATCATCAGGTAATTTTTCTTCATTACCCATTCAAGCCGTCTCCAACCATTATTAGTCTCAAAGTGGGTTCCTCGTCATCGAATAATGGATATGTGTTCTGGTCTAAAGTTTTGTGGAGTGATGAAACAAATCGAGCTATTTTGTCTCTCTGATAGTCATTACGTTTGGATAAAGTCTGGTGAGGTGTACAAGGAAAACATACTGTTACGTCTCCGTTTGTTAATTAACTTTCCGTAACTTCGTTCCGACGAAATTTTAACGACACA